TTGACGTGTACCTATGATGAAAATTACAGGCCTCTCATCTTTTTAAGTGGGAGAACTTGCACAATTGGTGGCTGACTAAATACTTTTTTTCCCCACTGTAGCTGATCTACCCTCTAAAAAATAATAATATATTTTTTTTAAAGACCAGTGGCAAAATGTTGTAAAAACAGAGAAGAGTAATAGCCCAAGGCTACTGCCCTGAGGGACACCACACTGTACATATCTGATGTTAGATAAGTTTCCATTGAAGAACACTCTCTGGGTTCTATTGGATAAATAACTCTCCAACCATGTGATGGCAGGTGATGTAAAGCCATAGCAAGTGAGTTTATTCAATAACAATTTATGGTCAAAAACATCAACGGCTGCACTTAAATCTATCAATAGAGCTCCAACTATCATTTTATTATCCATTTATTTTGACCAATCATCTGTCATCTGAGTCAGTGCAGTACAAGTTGAGTGGCCTTCTCTAAATGCACGCTGAAAGTCAGTAGTTAACTTGTTCTCTTAAAAATAGCATTGTATTTGCTGGGCAACACGGACTTTCAACTCCCTCCAAAAAATGTCTATGGGGTTGAGATCTGCTTCCTCTGTTACGTGTCTGCCGTTGTCTCTGTTCTCAGCATTACTGGTGTTGTCATCCTTTCCAATGACCGGATAGGCCTTTCTCTATTTACAAGGCCTGACGTGATTAAATGACATAATGGGTTTCTGGATGCTCTCTAGAGATGTATACGATTTTTTATGTTACTCACACATCTTCCACGAAGAAGCACAATTAGTAGAAACTTTTCAGATTACTTTTCAGATCTCAACCTTTTCTCTGGAAGAATCTTTATTTTATTTTTTATTTCACCTTTATTTAACCAGGTAAGCCAGTTGAGAACAAGTTCTCATTTACAACTGCAACCTGGCCAAGATAAAGCAAAGCAGTGCGATAAAAACAACAACACATAGTTACATATGGGGTAAACAAAACATAGTCAAAAATACAACAGAAAATATATATACAGTGTGTGCGAATGTAGTAAATTATGGAGGTAAGGCAATAAATAGGCCATAGTGCAAAATAGTTTCAATTTCGTATTAACACTGGAATGATAGATGTGCAAATAGAGATACTGCAGTGCAAATTAGCAAAATAAATAACAATATGGGGATGAGGTAGTTGGATGGGCTAATTACAGATGGGCTGTGTAGAGGTGCAGTGATCGGTAAGCTGCTCTGACAACTGACGCCTAAAGTTAGTGAGGGAGATAAGAGTCTCCAGCTTCAGAGATTTTTGCAGTTCTTTCCAGTCATTGGCAGCAGAGAACTGGAAGGAATGGCGGCCAAAGGAGGTGTTGGCTTTGGGGATGACCAGTGAGATATACCTGCTGGAGCGCAGACTACGGGTGGGTGTTGCTATGGTGACCAGTGAGCTAAGATAAGACAGGGATTTGCCTAGCAGTGATTTATAGATGACCTGGAGCCAGTGGGTTTGGCGACGAATATGTAGTGAGGGTGAAGGAGGCTTTGTTGCGAAATAGGAAGCCGATTCTAGATCTAACTTTTGATTGGAGATGCTTAATGTGAGTCTGGAAGGAGAGTTTACAGTCTAACCAGACACCTAGGTATTTGTAGTTGTCCACATACTCTAGGTCAGACCTGCCGAGAGTAGTGATTCTAGTCGGGTGGGCGGGTGCAAGCAGCGTTCGATTGAAGAGCATGCATTTAGTTTTACTAGTGTTTAAGAGCAGTTGGAGGCTACGGAAGGAGTGTTGTTTGGCGTTGAAGCTCGTTTGGAGGTTTGTTAACAGTGTCCAATGAAGGGCCAGATGTATACAAAATGGTGTCGTCTGCATAGAGGTGGATCCGAGCGTCACCAGCAGCAAGAGCAACATCATTGATATGCACAGAGAATACAGTCGGCCCGAGAATTGAACCCTTTGGCACCCCCATAGAGACTGCCAGAGGTCTAGACAACAGGCCCTCCGATTTGACACAATGAACTCTATCTGAGAAGTAGTTGGTGAACCAGGCGAGGCAGTAATTTGAGAAACCAAGGCTATTTAGTCTGCCAATAAGAATGCGGTGGTTGACAGAGTCAAAAGCCTTGGCCAGGTCGATGAAGATGGCTGCGCAGTACTGTCTTTCATCGATCATGGTTATAATATCGTTTAGGACCTTGAGCGTGGCTGAGGTGCACCCATGACCAGCTCGGAAACCAGATTGCATAGCGGAGAAGGTACGGTGGGATTCGAAATGGTCGGTGATCTGTTTGTTAACTTGGCTTTCAAAAACTTTCGAAAGGCAGGGCAGGATGGATATAGGTCTGTAACAGTTTTGATCTAGAGTGTCACCCCCTTTGAAGAGGGGGATGACCGCGGCAGCTTTCCAATCTCTGGGGATCTCAGACGTTACGAAAGAGAGGTTCAACAGGCTAGTAATAGGGGTTGCGACAATTTCGCCGGCTAATTTTAGAAAGAAAGGGTCCAGATTGTCTAGCCCAGCTGATTTGTAGGGGTCCAGATTTTTCAGCTCTTTCAGAACATCAGCTGTCTGGATTTGTGTAAAGGAGAAGCGGCGGGGCGGGGGCATGGGCAAGTTGCAGCGGAGGGTGCAGAGTTGGTGGCCGGGGTAGTGGTAGCCAGGTGGAAAGCATGGCCAGCCGTAACAAAATGCTTGTTGAAATTCTCTATTATTGTAGATTTATCGGTGGTGACAGTGTTTCCTAGCCTCAGTGCAGTGGGCAGTTGGGAGGAGGTGCTCTTATTCTCCATGGACTTTACAGTGTCCCACAAACTTTTTGGAGTTGCAAATTTCTGTTTGAAAAAGCTAGCCTTTGCTTTCCTAACTGATTGTGTATATTGGTTCCTGACTTTCCTGAAAAGTTGCATATCGCGGGAACTGTTCGATGCTAATGCAGTACGCCACAGGATGTTTTTGTGCTGGTCAAGGGCAGTCAAGTCTGAGGAGAACCAGGGGCTATATCTGTTCTTAGTTCTGACATTTTAAGATTGAGAGGAAAGCACTTTTAAAGAACAACCAGGCATCCTCTACTGACGGAATGAGGTCAATATCCATCCAGGATACCCGGGCCAGGTCAATTAGAAAGGCCTGTTTGCTAAAGTGTTTTAGGGAGCGTTTGACAGTGATGAGGGGTGGTCGTTTGACCGCGGATCCATTACGGACGCAGGCAATAAGGCAGTGATCGCTGAGATCCTGGTTGAAGACAGCGGAGGTGTATTTAGAGGGTACATTTGTCAGGATGATATCTATGAGGGTGCCCATGTTTACAGATTTTGGGTTGTAACTGGTAGGTTCGTTGATAATTTGTGTGAGATTGAGGGCATCTAGTTTAGATTGTAGGTTGGCCGGGGGTGTTAAGCATATCCCAGTTTAGGTCACCAAGCAGTACGAAATCTGAGGATAGATGTGGGGCAATCAGTTCACATATGGTGTCCAGGGCACAGCTCGGGGCTGGGGGGGGGGGGGGGGGGGGGGGGGGGGGTCTGTAGCAAGCGGCGACAGTGAGAGACTTATTTCTGGAAAGGTGGATTTTTTTTGTTGAAGTAGAAGCTCAAACTGTTTGGGCACAGACCTGGATAGTACGATAGAGCTCTGCTTTCTAATGCTAAGGGAGACGAAAGCCATACATAGTGTCACTTTACTATAGAGTCACTGTATTGTCACCGCAGCAAACCACTGCTTGAAAACTCCCTGTTCGCACACAGACGGAGGCGTTGGTCTGTTCCGTATGTCTGTCACTTAGGTCATCAGTTTCAGAGCTGTGATGTGTGAACTGTTAGCTAACAAGGGTTCGGGTTTAACAACAGGAGAATCACTGGAGTCTAGCCACTCAGGGGGGGGTTTCTACCGTTGAGATTACAGTAAGTCAAAATGAGGTCAAGTGAAATGAAACAGCTTTAGGAAATGGAAAAAAACAAAACAAGTACAGCCAACGAGAGGATGCAGAGTAGCAGTTCTAGTAGGCACAACATGTTTCATTGTCAGGTTGTTCTGGTGACGGACAGTCAAAATAGTAAAAGGAAGGATTCTGCAGAACTCTCAGTTAAACAGAGTGATATGTTGGCTTCCTGAATAAAAGGCCACAACCTGACCTTTATGTTGATGTTTGTTGCTGTTGACATGATTTCTCTAAAACCTACTGCGTGTACCTAACAGGGTTGGGCTCAATTCCAGTCTATTCAGAAAGTACAACAAATTCCAATTAAAAAATTTTGCTCATTGAAAAGCATTGAAGATAATTGCAATTGGAATTTCAGTGTACTTCCTGATTTAACTGGAATTGAAATGGAATTGACCCCAAACCCTGGTAGTTAATACTTTAATAGATATTCTATGGTTTTTGCATTTGCATACACATGCTCTGAAACATCTTGATACTGTCTCTGGGATAAGACACCTAGCTACATCATCAATCTGTTTGATCTAAGTGTGTTATCTCGTGATCCATGACAGTCAGCGGAAATGGGTACAGCATTGGAACACTACATAAATGCTTCTAGAACAAAGGCAACATGAAACATTCTGTCACAGCAACGTTTCACTCTGAAGAGACAGACAGATAGACAGACAGACAGACAGACAGACAGACAGACAGACAGACAGACAGACAGACAGCAGAGCGAGAGCAAGAGAGAGAGAGAGATGCTTTTAGTCATGGTGAGTCTCTGCTGTTCTTTAACTCTTACTAAGAATAGGACTATTTCACTATGTACAGTTTTGCCTGTTGGGATATCAGGTAGGGGTGGATAGGTGATATTTCTCTGGCATTCATTTTGATTTTGACATTTAATTTTCACTTTTAAAAGGGAGGTCATTTAGTAATGTACAGCACATAAAGACATCGTGGCACAAAGGCTGGTTTACACAGACAGCCCAATTCTGATATTTTTCCTCCTTAATTGGTCTTTCCAATAATTAGGCAAAATTACCTCCATTTAAAAAAAAGTGTTTTCATAGATATAGGGAACAGGTATTGAAGCTCTGTCATGTCGGTCAGGTCTTCAGAGGTTTGCTGGTGCTGGTTCTGGTCACGTCACTGGATGGACTGAAGAAAGCCAAGAAGACCAAACCGAAGCCAGCCCAAGGCTCCGGACCAGTCAAGGTCATCGGACGGAGCGTAATAACTGTAGGGTTGGTTTTGGATCCTAACATGAAGAGCTTCTTCCCTGTCCTTCCTATAGCCAACAGGTCTCTCTCTCCGTGGACATACATGTGAGTTGGTTACAGTACAGCCACTTTTGGGACACGCATGTGAAGTGTTCATTACTCAAAATGATATGTTTAATGGAAGTAGAACGAATGGTTTTCCATATAAAATTATTTAATGTGTTTCGTGGCATTTTGTGTCTCAATTGTATGCACAAATAACATGTCTCTCTCTCTCTCTCTCCCCCCCCCCCCCCCTATTCCTCCCACTCTCCCTCCCTCTCCCTAACCAGAGACACGTACGATGAGAACCGGGTCCCTCAGCGTATCTCTCAGGCTCAGTGCCGGATGTCTGGCTGTCTGACCCCAGAAGGAGGTGAGGACATGGGGTGGGAGTCCAAACCGATCGTCCATCAGACCCTGGTGCTCCGCAGGTAACCTTTTAGACTTATTATGATTATTATGATTATTATTATTATGATTAAAATATACTTATAACTGACTTACCTTTCGTAAATCGCCCCCCTCAGAGGATAATTACATTCTGTTGAATTGAATTGAGTTGACATTCACTTTGCTTTGAGAAATATAGGTGATAAATATAAATAAAAAAATTTTTTTAATGTAATGTTATAATTCATATTTCTGAGACAGTTGTCTGACCTGTGGGACTATTCTGCAGGGTCCAGGGAAAGCAGGGTAGCAGCAAGAAGAGGACGAGGAAGGGGAAGAAGGGATATTTCTTCAGACTGGAGAGTGAGATTATAAAAGTGGGCTGTACCTGTGTGATACCCAGCATTCTTCCTCAGAAGTAGATGAGCAAGAGAACAGCAATTCAGGAAATGAATTCAAATTCAAATTCACAAATGGAACATTCTACATGGAAAATAGAACTTTCTGATTCGTGAATACATTTCCTGAATTGAAATGGAATGGGATCCCCAACTCCAGTAGTGAGGAAGGCTTCCATCTGTGGAGTGTAGCATGGCTGTAAAGTAGATGTCTTAGAAGTGAATGAGGACGTTGATGTCTTTGTCTAGGTTTTGATGTTGACCCGTGGAAATTGACAAAGTGATGTATCACTGACCTCTGACCTTTAGTCTACCTGGAAACATCTGAGGTCAACAGCAGGGTTCACATTCTGGTCATACCTTCCCTACTGCATTTTATTTTAATTAAATTAATTGTTAAATGACCTGTTTATTTACAGGGATACTTTGGGATTTTTGGCAATTATCTACTTCCCCAGAGTCAGATGAAATCGTGGATACCATTTTTATGTCTCTGCTTCCATTATGAAGGAAGTTTAGAGGTAGTTTTGTGAGCCAATGCTAACTAGCGTTAGCGTAATGACTGGAAGTCTATGGTATCTGCTAGCATTGCCAAAATCCCAAAGTATCCCTTTGAAATACTTAAATTACCTGTTTATTTAAATGACAGTGACTTAATTAACCGTAAGTTGCACAAGACTAAAATGTCAATGTAAACATTTGTTTTATTCAAATATTCTTTTTTTTTGTATAGGAATTTCCATATGATCTGTAGCCTGTGACCAAATATTGACCCTAGTTTGTAATAGAATGGACACATACCACCTAATGTGTTTCTGAATAAATGTAATTATTTTGTTATAAATGTGTTATTTGTATTTATTATTATGTAAGTCACTCTGGATAAGAGTGTCTGCTAAATAACCAACATGTAAACAACAGAGGACAGAGAAGAGAGGTCACCCGGAGCTTGTGAGTCAAGAATATAACACACATAAACATGTAGCAAGTAAAACCTTCATATTCCCAACAATACAGGGCAAATATTTCAAGTCAGAGCTTGCACCCTATTCCCTATGTAGTGCACTACTTTTGACCAGGGCCCATAAGGCTCTGGTAAAAAGTAGTGCACTATGTAGGGAATAGGGTGCCATTTGGGACACCCCCAGAGTGACTCTAGCAGACATCAACTCCAATCTCTCTCTCTTCTCTCTTTCTCTCATCGAAAAACAACAGACAATCACAGTTAACAGAGTACAGTGACATCATGCCAAAGCGAAGCGCACCATTGGATGGTCTGGTCTGACAGCTCAAGCGGTTTACCATCCTGTCAGTCAATCAGTCAATCAATCAATCAAAGATAACCAGGTCAACACCCTCCCTAGCCTCTGCTGAGTCCCCAACAACAGGCGGATGTTCCGGTTTTCAGGGGTAATGGAAAGAGAGCGACTTCCGCATTTGGATGTTAACAAGGCGACACTCCATCTTAACTCCTCCTCCACATTTACTGGATTGGTTGAACAGTCCACAGAGAACCTCCCCCAACAGTTTTTTTTTCTTCTTCTCGTCAAGACCAGGATGTAGGAGATTTAGTTTCAGCCGTTTATTTTATGCCTGTTACGTTAGGTTACACCCTCCCTTTCCTTTCCCCAAGATGTATTCTGCCCTCTACATGTACAGTGCCTTCAGAAAGTATTCACACCCCTTGACTTTTTCCACATTTTGTTGTGTTACAGCCTGAATTTAAAATGGATTAAATTGAGATTTTTGTGTCATTGGCCTACACACCATACCCCATAATGTCAAAGTCTAATTATGTTTTTAGAAATTTTAGAAATTAATTTTAAAAAAAGAAAAGTTGAAAATGTCTTATGTCAAGTAGTTGAATCTCCTTTGTTATGTCAAGCCTAAATATGTTCAGGAATTTAAATAAAAAAATGCTTAAGTCACATAATAAGTTGCATGGACTCACTCTGTGTGCAATAATAGTGTTTAACGTGATTTTTGAATGACTACCTCATCTCTGTACCCCCACATATACAATGATCTGTAAGGTCCTTCAGTCGAGCAGTGAATTTCAAACACAGATTCAACCACAAAGACCAGGGAGGTTTTTTAATGCCTCGCAAAGAATGGCACCTGTTGGTAGATGATTTTTCATTGGTAATTCTGGTTCATTGGTAACCAATTTCCTATTGGTAGATGGGTAAAAAACAAAGCAGACATTGAATATCCCTTTGAGCATGGTGTTAATTACACTTTGGATGGTGTATCAATACACCCAGTCACTACAAAGATACAGGTGTCCTTCCTAACTCAGTTGCCGGAGAGGAAGGAAACCGTTCAGGGATTTCACCATGAGGCCAATGGTGACTTTAAAACAGTTGCGGAGTTCAATGGCTGTGATAGGAGAAAACTGAGGATGGATCAACAACATTGTAGTTACTCCACAATACTAACCTAATTAACAGAGTGAAAAGAAGGAAGCCTGTACGGAATTATTTATATTTGCAACAAGGTACTAAAGTAATACTGCAAAAAAAATTGCCTAAGAAATTAACTTTTTGTCCTGAATAGAAAGTGTTATGTTTGGGGCAAATCCAATAGAACACATTACTGAGTATCACTCTCCATATTTCCATGTATAGTGGTGGCTGCATCATGTTATGGGTATGCTTGTAATCGTTAAGGACTGGGGAGTTTTTCAGGATAAAAAATAAATGGAATGGAGCTAAGCACAGGCAAAATCCTAGAGGAAAACCTGGTTCAGTCTGCTTTCTACCAGACACTGGGAGATTAATGCACCTTTCAGCTGGACAATAACCTAAAACACATCTACATTGGAGTCGCTTACCAAGAAGACGGTGAATGTTCCTGAGTGGCCTAGTTACATTTTGGACTTAAATCGGCTTGAAAATCTATGGCAAGACTTGAAAATAGCTGTCTAGCAATGATCAACAACCAACTTGACAGAGCTTGAAGAATTTGTGCAAATATTGTACAATTCAGGTGTGAAAAGTTCTTAGAGACTTACCCAGAAAGACTCACAGCTGTAATCGATGCCAAAGGTGATGCCAACATTTATTGACTCAGGGGTGTGAATCCTTATGTAAATGAGATATTTATGCATTTTAATTTTCAATACATTTGCAAAAAAAATTATAAAAACATGTTTTTACTTTGTCATAATGGGGAGATGGGAGAAGAAAAACAAATACTTAATCAATTTTGAATTTAGGACAGAACATAACTAAATGTGTAATAAGTCAAGGGGTATGAATCCTTTCTGAAGGCACTGTAGGTACATTTTCTCCTGAGTTGTGCTTAGAAAAGTTAACATATATAAATTAAACAGAGTGCATGCTATGCTCTAAGTCTAGCTAAATGTATGAAGTCAATCTTCTATCAGCTAATGACCGAAGTTGATAGTTACTTGAGAGTACTTGAGACAGCTTTAACTTTTTTTCCAATGACACAATCCAATCTTGAATCTGACAGTCACAAATTATTTTATCATTCATAGCGTTCCCTGGTAAACATGGGAGAATGACGTGCACGTTCTGGTTACAGCATCCCGTTAAAGGTATAGGGAAAATGTATCACAGTATAAATCATTTTGATGTGTAAGCGCCTGCAAGTGAGATACAGAGTGTGTGTTTGAGCGTAGATGTTGTTGAGTCAGCTCTGGGATAGTGGGCTCTTAGGGTGTGTTCAGTCCGCTCTGGGATAGTGGGCTCTTAGGGTGTGTTCAGTCCGCTCTGGGATAGTGGGCTCTTAGGGTGTGTTCAGTCCGCTCTGGGATAGTGGGCTCTTAGGGTGTGTTCAGTCCGCTCTGGGATAGTGGGCTCTTAGGGTGTCTTCAGTCCGCTCTGGGATAGTGGGCTCTTAGGGTGTGTTCAGTCCGCTCTGGGATAGTGGGCCTCTTAGGGTGTGTTCAGTCCGTTCTGGGATAGTGGGCTCTTAGGGTGTGTTCAGTCCGCTCTGGGATAGTGGGCTCTTAGGGTATGTTCAGTCCGCTCTGGGATAGTGGGCTCTTAGGGTGTGTTCAGTCCGCTCTGGGATAGTGGGCTTTTAGGGTGTGATACTGTATGTTTTGGCGCTGACTCCGGCACCACATATTGATAACCTACCACTCCACTGTGTTTCACCACAAACACCAGCTTCACTCTCTCTGTTCCCACATAATTAACATCATCATCATCATCACAACATCCCCTCACACCCAGATCCACTCTCTCCCTTCCTCCCACTCTGGTGCACCTTTACATTGCCAGCCAGACACATCTCCTTCTCTCTTGTATTTTCACCACTACATTTTTGTTTTATGTTTACCTTGAATCCCTGTTTTAGTTTTGTGCGCTTGGTCCAAATCGTTGCTGCATACATTAACTCCTGGGTTCAAGGTTCAAGGTTCAAGGTTATTTTAGTTTTCTTTTCTCTCATTGTATTGATCTCTCTTTTTTTTATTGACTCACAAAACCACTGCTCGGTTCTCTCTCCCTCGCTGCCTCCTTCAGTTCTTTGTTCTTCCTCACCTCTTCTCCGTGTTTATTCTGCCACACGGAAAACAACAACAACAACAACAATATTTACATTTAGGAATATATTTGCATTAATTTCGGTAAAACCAAGACATGAACAGAATAAAACAAAAACTCCTAAGGTTCTCAAGGGAGGTACTGAACACGGGAATGACCAGACAAAAAACTTAGACAAGCTAGAAACAAAAATATGTTCAGTGTCTGCATAATATGAGGTTTGAGATCTTAGAAAGGAGGAATATACGATAAATGAGAGTTTGTGTTAATGCACATTTTTAGAGAGTTGGAGACTAAAAAGAGAGTTAGAGTAGATGAACTAAAGGGAGAGAGAAAGATAGAAATAGAGAGTGAAAGAGACTACAGGGAGAACAAGATAGAGAGACCCTAGAGAGAGAAACAGAGAGACTAGAAGGAAATAGAGAAAGAGATAAACATCAACTTCTCCTGAGAGAGAGAGAGACAGAGAGACGGACAGAGAGACAGAGACAATCAGAGAGACAGACAGAGACAAACAGACAAACTGGAGAGAGAATAAAGAGAGAGAAAGTAGCTAACCTTCCCTTTTTGGAGGGGGGGAAAAAAAAAAAAAAAGGGGGAAAAAAAGCGAAAAGGGGGAAAAAGTTATTCTTTCTCTTTTCCCTTCCCTTTCCCCTTTGTTTTTTCCTTTTGCTTCCCCCCACTCTTTTAAATTTTTAAATCCAGAAAGGTCTTTTTCGGGTTTTTTTCGCTTTGTTTTTTTTCCCCCCTTTTTTTTTGGGCTTGCTTTTTTTCCCTTTTTTTGTTTTTTTAAAACTAAAAAAGGGGGTTCAAGGGAATTTTTTTTAAAAACACAATAAATTAATGAAAATTTATTAAACTAAAACAAAAAATACTAAAGAATGAACTAAAAAATAACTAAACAAATTTATATTAAAATAGTAGAAATCTACATATAAAGGGGGATTTAATATAATTTAAATAAATAAAACTAAAAATAAATATACTAAAAAAGAAATTTTAATTAAAAAATTTTAAAAATTCATATAACTACCAAAAAAAAAATAAAAAATAAAAATAAAGTGATAAAAATAAGGGGAAAATAAAAAGGAGAGCCTTAACCCTTCCTTTTAAAAACTAAGAGAAAACCAAAAAGACTAAGGGGGAAAGAGAAAGAAACTCGAGAGAAAGAAAGTATCACCTTCTCCTGCAGTCGTTCCAACATGGCCGCCAGCAGAGCCTCTCTGTTCTCCTTGTTGGCCTCCATCTTCTGCTCCAGCTTCTCCTTGGCGTTCTTGATGAAGTTGTTGTTCTCCTCAAAGGCCTTCTGGATCACCTCTCTCTCGTGCTCTCTCTTCTCTGCCAGGTGCTTCAGCAGCTCAGCCTCCTGGCACTAGATGGCGGTGTGAGGAGAGTATCAGGATACATCAGACATGGATTATGGTGTGTGTTTGTGCGTGGTGAGCATGTTTGTGTGCGTGCATGAGTGTCTATGCATGCTTATGTGTGTGTGTGTCCTCCCTGTCTCCTACTGTCTCCTCTCCTCCTCCCTGTCTCCTAGTGTCTCCTCTCCTCCTCCCCTCCCTGTTTCCTAGTGTCTCCTCTCCTCCTCCATGTCTCCTAGTGTCTCCTCTCCTGCTCCCTGTCTCCTAGTGTCTCCTCTCCCCGCCCTGTCTCCTAGTGTCTCCTATCCCCCCTGTCTCCTAGTGTCTCCTCTCCTCCTCCCTGTCTCCTAGTGTCTCCTCTCCCCTCCCTGTCTCCTAGTGTCTCTCTCCTCCTCCCTGTCTCCTAGTGTCTCCTAGTGTCCTCTCCTCCTCCCTGTCTCCTAGTGTCTCCTCTCCTCCTCCCTGTCTCCTAGTGTCTCCTCTCCTCCCTGTCTCCTAGTGTCTCCTCTCCCCTCCCTGTCTCCTAGTGTCTCCTCTCCTCCTCCCTGTCTCCTAGTGTCTCCTCTCCTCCTCCCTGTCTCCTAGTGTCTCCTCTCCTCCTCCCTGTCTCCTAGTGTCTCCTCTCCTCCTCCCTGTCTCCTAGTGTCTCCTCTCCTCCTCCCTGTCTCCTAGTGTCTCCTCTCCTCCTCCCTGTCTCCTAGTGTCTCCTCTCCCCTTCCTGTCTCCTAGTGTCTCCTCTCCTCCTTCCTTTCTCCTAGTGTCTCCTCTCCTCCCTGTCTCCTAGTGTCTCTTCTCCCCTCCCTGTCTCCTAGTGTCTCCTCTCCCCCTCCCCTCCCTGTCTCCTAGTGTCTCCGCTCCTCCTCCCTGTCTCCTAGTGTATCCTCTCCTCCTCCCTGTCTCCTAGTGTCTCCTCTCCTCCTCCCTGTCTCCTAGTGTCTCCTCTCTTCCTCCCTGTTTCCCAGTGTCTCCTCTCCACTCCCTGTCTCCTAGTGTCTCCTCTCCTCCTCCCTGTCTCCTAGTGTCTCCTCTCTTCCTCCCTGTCTCCTAGTGTCTCCTCTCCTCCTCCCTGTCTCCTAGTTTTTCCTCTCCTCTCCCTGTCTCCTAGTGTATCCTCTCCTCTCCCTGTCTCCTAGTGTCTCCTCTCCCCCTCCCTGTCTCCTAGTGTCTCCTCTCCCCTCCCTGTCTCCTAGTGTCTCCTCTCCTCCTCCCTGTCTCCTAGTGTCTCCTCTCCTCCTCCTTGTCTCCTAGTGTCTCCTCTCCTCCTCCCTGTCTCCTAGTGTCTCCTCTCCCTGTCTCCTAGTGTCTCCTCTCCTGCTCCCTGTCTCCTAGTGTCTCCTCTCCTCCTCCCTGTCTCCTAGTGTCTCCTCTCCTGCTCCCTGTCTCCTAGTGTCTCCTCTTCTCCTCCCTGTCTCATAGTGTCTCCTCTCCTCCTCCCTGTCTCCTAGTGTATCCTCTCCTCCTCCCTGTCTCCTAGTGTCTCCTCTCCCCTTCCTGTCTCCTAGTGTCTCCTCTCCTCCTTCCTTTCTCCTAGTGTCTCCTCTCCTCCCTGTCTCCTAGTGTCTCCTCTCCTCCTTCCTTTCTCCTAGTGTCTCCTCTCCCCTCCCTGTCCTCCTCACCTTCCTCCTCTCCTCTGCAGCCTCTAGTTTCTTCTGGATCTCCTCCATGGAGAGTTCTCTGCGTTGGGGCATGGTAGCGTTGAGCTCTGGGACGCCATCGAACGACGGGGGCTTCAGGATGACCTCGAAGGCCTGGCCCGACGCACGCTTGTTCAACTCTATCACCTCCACGTCCTTTATCACACACCAGTCCAGATCCACCGCATCTGCCAAAGCTAGTACCTTTTTCCTCACCTCTTCTGCATGTTTGTCCTGCCACACGGGAAAACAACAACAACAATATTTACATTCAGGAATCTATTAGCATTCATTCTGTAAAACCCAGACGTAAAAACAGCATAAAACAAAAGATAATCAACATGGGAATGATCAGACAGAAACTAAAATATGTGTAGTGTCTGTAAAATATTCATGCATTTTGAGATCTTAGTACAGAGGAATACATATGATGCTTAATTTTTTTTTCAAAATTATAAAAATGCTACGTTCAAGAATAATTTCGAGAGACTGGTAAGAGGAAGGGGGAGATTAAAGAGAGAGTTTTAGTAGATAAACTAAAGTGAAAAGGGAGGAAGAGGGAGATATAAAGTATTTAACCCCCTTCAAAATGTCTCTACTTTTACATTATTTTAATACTGAATGTTATCAGATCTTCAACTAAAACCTAATATTAGATAAAGGGAACCTGAGTGAACAAATAACACAACAATTACATGCTTATTTCATTTACTTCATTAACAAAGTTATGCAACACATACTGTGCAAAAAATTAATTGCCCCCCTTACACTCAATAACTGGCTGTTCCACCTTCAGCTGCAACGACTGTAACCAAACGCTTCCTGTAGTTGTTGATCAGTCTCTCACATCGCTGTGGAGGAATTTTGGCCCACTCTTGCAAGCAGAACTGCTTTAACTCAGCGACATTTGTGGGTTTTCAAGCATGAACTGCTCATTTCAAGTCCTGCCACAACATCTCAATTGGGATTAGGTCTGGACTTTGACTAGGCCATCCTAAAACATCTTATGTTTTGCTTTTTAACCATTTTCATTTACACATCTACATGAAAATGGTTAAAAAGTAACACATTTGAAGTTTTGGAATGGCCTAGTCAAAGTCCAGACCTAATCCCAATTGAGATGTTGTGGCAGGACTTGATATTAGCAGTTCATGCTTGAAAACCCACAAATGTCACTGAGTTAAAGCAGTTCTGCATGCAAGAGGAGGCCAAAATTCCACCACAGCGATGTGTGAGACTGATCAACAACTACAGGAAGCATTTGGCTGCAGTCATTGCAGCTAAAGGTGGCACAACCAGTTATTGAGTGTAAGGGGGCAATTACTTTTCACACAGGGGAATTGGGTGTTGCATAACTTTGTTAATTAAATAAATAAAATAAGTATCAATTTTTTTGTTATTTGTAAACTCAGGTTCCCTTTATCTAATATTAGATTTGGTTGAAGATCTGATAACATTCAGTATCAAAAATATGCAAAAATACTTTTTCACGGCACTGTATATAAAATAGAGGGAGGGAGACTAGAGAGAGAGTGAGAGAGACTAGAGAGACCAGAGAGAGAGAGAGAGAGAGAGAGAGAGGAGAGTAGAGAAAGAGAAGAGTGAGAGAGAGGAGAGAGACGAGAGGATCGATGAGGAGAATGTAGAGAGAGAGAGATGTGAGGAACTAGCGAGAGAGAGAGAGAGAGAGAGGAATAATATATGAGACACGCACGAGACTAGCGAGTTTTAAGCTAAAAGACTGATGAATGAGAGTATAAAAAACTGTACATAAGAAACTTTGAGTATCTAGATTGGAG